TATACTTTTTCCAGTGTCCGCCCCCCCTCCCCGAAAATTCTAACCCCGCACTCGAAAATTTCAATTACCCCCACCCCTCTCCGGGAGGAAAAAGTCTGAAAGAAACACTGGTGTCGCGCTTAGCCACTACCCGAAGAATTGCATTAAAGAAATTGCAAGAAAACCACTTTTTAGATTAGACACATTAATTAGGCGGTAATTTTATTATAGAGTATCGATGAAGAAATTTCTTTTGAGTTGGGGAGGGGGGGGGGGGGCTCAGACGTTCTTACGCGGGGGGTGGGGCTTCGCCCCTACCCGAAGAATTGTATGCAAGAAACTCTTCACGCAAACCATTAAGATTAGACAACATTTCCTTTTTATTCAATGTTAACGCGAAATCAATGACGTCATATAACTGTGAGCACTCTCTGGGTTTGAGATTATTTTCTACTCTGTGCTAAATGTGTCGACGTCATACTTCGTTTTTCGAATTACTGTGCATGTTTTTAAATTGCTTGTCTTTCTCTAGAGCGTTCTTGTCAGACAGATAGATAGATAGATAGATAGAGAGACAGCGAAACTATTATTATAGACGAGAAAAATGGCCCGTTGAGGAAGGATACACCGGGCGCTAGGTTGATAGTGCTGTCTCTTTTCTCTAAACATAAACCACCCCCCCCACACACACCACCCCCACCCACACCCCCACCCACACCACCCCAACCCCCCACCCCCCCCCCCCCCACACACCACCCCCCCACACACCACCCCCCCCACCCCCACCCCTACACACACCACCCCACACACACACCACCCCCCACCCCCCCACCCCCCCCCAAAAAAAACATGTCTACCGTCCCATTCAACGAAATATAATTATATACTTTTTCCAGTGTCCGCCCCCTCCCCGAAAATTCTACACCCGCCCCCGAAAATTTCAAGTACCCTCACCCCTCTCCGGGGAGGAAAAAGTCTAAATTAAAACCACCCCCCCACTCACCCCCACCCCCCCCCCCACACACACACACCACCCCCCCCCCCCCCCCCCCCAAAAAAAAGCATGTCTACCGTCCCATTCAACAAAATATAATTATATACTTTTTCAGTGTCCGCCCCCTCCCCGAAAATTCTACCCCCGCCCCCGAAAATTTCAAGTACCCCCACCCCTCTCCGGGGAGGAAAAAGTCTAAATTAAAACCACCCCCCCCCACTCACCCCCCATCCCCCCCCCCCCCCCACACACCCCCCCCTCCCCCCACCCCCCCACCCACAACCCCCCCCCCCCTAAAAAAACATGTCTACCGTCCCATTCAACGAAATATAAATTATATACTTTTTCCAGTGTCCGCCCCTCCCCGAAAATTCTACCCCCCGCCCCCGAAAATTTCAAGTACCCCCACCCCTCTCCGGGGAGGAAAAAGTCTAATTAAAACCACCCCCCCCCCCACTCAACCCGCCCCCCCCCACCCCCACCCCCCCTCAGACGTTCTTACGCGGGGGTGGGGCTTCGCCCCTACCCGAAGAATTGTATGCAAGAAACTCTTCACGCAAACCATTTAGATTAGACAACATTTCCTTTTTTTCAATGTTTCAATGACGTCATTACATTACTGTGTGCACTCTCTGGTTTGAGATTATGTTCTACTCTACGCTAAATGTGTCGACGTCATATTTCGTTTTCGAATTACTGTGCAGGTTTTTAAATTCCTTGTGTTTTCTCTAGAGCGTTCTTGTCAGACAGATAGATAGATAGATAGATAGATAGATAGATAGATAGATAGATAGATAGATAGATAGATAGACAGACAGCGAAACCTATTATTATAGATAAGAATATTCGAGAAAGTTTAGGGGAGATCACTCCCGGTTTATTTCTAGTTCCGCCCACTGCTTTTAACACAGAAAAGTAACCAATTGTGTTACATTAAAAGAAGAAAAGGTAGTTGAGGGAGTGCTTTTCCGCCAAGATAAATGGAAAGGAGTTACACCGGAACGGTGAGCAGATACATCGCTTAACACTTGATGAAATTTCATATACAAGTATTATATCAAATTTGTGGTAGTGTATCAACTTTTCAGCGATTTCCGATAACCGGAAGTGGAACTTATTCTACTTTTGGTGTTTCAAAAGCCTATAACTTGACTACTATTACAGATAAATTAACGAAATTTCAAAATAGGTAAAATATCTAATTTTCTGCCTATTGTCAAATTTTGAGTTATTTCCGTTGACCGGAATTAGTAATTTACGCTATTTCCGATTCCTAAAAAAAACGCATGTGGATTTATAAGGTACTAATAATATTCCGCATTGTCAAACACAGATTATTTGGCTTTCACTTGGTGCGCACTTCTTTTTTTCTACGAGTTTCTATTCTATTTTTAAAAAGTATAAGTAATTAAAATGGATTGAAAATCATGTCTATATCCCGAATTGCCATCCCCTGTAGTGTTATATAAGAATAAGAGCTGACCCGTGGGGTATCATACGCCGCTATTGTTTTATTTTCTACATTTCAGTACTTCATAGTTAGTGAATACTACTCTCCCTTCCATTTCCCTTCCCCCAACCCACCCCCATCCCCCGCCATCGTGAAAGCATCAGTCAACACAGATTTTAGTGAAATAACCGTCTGTACAGCAGGCTAATTTTTTGCATGCACCTATTATTATTAAAATAAAAGTAAATTATGTAGATAAATACGTATAAATAAATATGGATGAACTGTTTGGGGGATTTTTTGTTACACTTTTTATACTTTTTTTTTTATAAAAAAGGGGCCCTTTTCCCTCTTTTAAAAATTTTAACTTTCTCATTGTAAATATTTGTTTTATGTAGATAATTTTAAATAGAAAATGGAAATGCACATTCTTTTCTACTCAAGAAATAATTAAAAGTTCCAAATAGGCCCCCGGCTCTTTATTACTGTACAAAGAATGGCATTCAGTAGGGGAGGCCCGTTATAATAACACTACCTACAGGCGTTGTCGCATTGTCAGGCAAGCCATTAAGAGAATTAGCATATAAATAAACTTTTTTGTGAGATTGTACATGTATCGCTACAAACCCCAACTGACTGTGAAATTACCTACACCTCTCTCCTACCTGAAATTCCAAATAATTTTAAAGATTATATAGGGAAATACTACTGTTCATTTTTTTTTTACCGAATTATGAAGTTTTCCCAGATATAGCGAGTTTTTTCTGACACCCCTAGTAGTTCTTCTACGGCCTAACTAAATATCAATGGGGGTCGTTCGCCAAAAGTTATTTCGTTATATAGCTCTAATAAGGAGAATTTCACTCGCGGTCATTTTTTTAGCCCTCGTCGAGGACTTTGAGTAGAACCGACAGTTTTTCCATACGGCCTAATCATTTACCAAGGTGCTTGCAAACAATTAGCCAGATGTACAGACGGTAAGTGCCCTAAAATCTGTGTTGATATTACCCTCTGTTTTTCCTGTAAATTACAAATATTATATAGAGAAATACGACTGGTCAGTTTTGACCACTTTTCGAAGTTTTCCCAGATATGGGTAGTTTTTTCTGACACCACTAGGCGTTCTTCTATGACCTCTCAAAATATCAAAGGGGGGGGGGGGGGCGTTCGGCAAACGTTTTTTTTTTCGATATAAGGCGCCGGTCAGTTTTGACCTCCTCATCGTCGACTTTACGGCTGACAAGCACGGGCCCCGGTGTTTGAAGCCCCTGCGGCGCCGGGAAGTGCCCCGGGCACCCGAACACTTTGCTTTATTGGCCTAGGGTCCTATAGAATCTTTTTATTCTTTTCATAAAGATTTGCTTTTTTAAAGAATTGTGACAAGATGTTCTATTTTTGATCAGGAAATACATTTGCATTCTGGGATATATCCGCTAACCTCGCCCTCCTACACGGAAGAGGCTAACAATCAATAATTAAAATAAACACTTCAGATTAAGCTAGATCTAGACTAGCTCTAGTTTAGGTAAGAATTTTATTTTACGAGTAAATTTTTTTTTAGCTTTTATAATGATGTTGTTTGGGCTGTACTTTACTAAAGAACGAGATCTAGATCTAGGCGCTAGAATGCATTTGTACTTGCTACTACACTTTTGCGATTTTGATTGATGACTCTTCTTGAGTCTTCTTCCACTTCACTTCATCAACTCTTCACTCTTCCTCTTTTCTAATTTTTAAAAATAAATTAAAATAGATAGATCTAGGCCTAGATCTTATATGTTTACATAACTATTAGATTAGGTCTAAATTAAATCTAGAGATCTAGATTCGGTAAAACTCCATTTTAGCATATTTTTTAAATTCCTCGCTTCATGTTCACCTCCAGTTTAGCGTATTTTATTATTTTAAAATTTTGTATTATGGCCTATTTATTTAGGCATAGATTAAGAAAAGATTCTTTTTAAAAAACCTGCTAGTGATTAGGGTTCCCACAGAGGGGGGGAAAAAAAGAGAATTTTAAGATAAAATTTCCCGAAGAATAGGCCTAGCTGGTAAATTTTCACAATGGCTGGGAATTATTTTCATCCCCCAAATATCGTGAGATTTGGACTACGCATGAGCCTAATCTTACGGTACTGTAGTCTCGCCTGTTCACGTGGGTTAGAGTTAAGGCGCACAAAACTAGTCTCGTATTGGAGCAAACTATAGGCCTAAGTATAATCACATATGATTTGCTATGGTTGCTACAATTTCCAATTTTTTCAGGGGTGCCACTTTTACGGATTATCCATTCCCGGGTTATCAAAATTTGAGTTTTAAAATGGCCAGGTTTGAAGTTAGAAAAAAAAACAAGTTGACATATGATTGTAGAAATCGATTTTAGTCCGGAGCCTTTTTACCATTGATATGTTTTCCGCCAATAGCACAAGCCTATATGCAGACATGCCTACCGTCCAGCCAAAAGCAGAACCGTTCCGCTTTTTCACCTAAAAAAGTAATTTGTTCAGTCAATCCGGTTTTGACTCAGTTTGTTCCAATTTTTTTGAAAAAAATAATTAATAGCCTAAAGAAAGGTAATAAAGTGAATTGAAAAAAGGCAGGGAAAAGCAATTATCTCCCTTTGGCATACGTTTCTGTTTCCTAGTTTACGTACAATATTTACAATTATCATCTAATACTAGATCTAGCTAGTAAATCTACTACTACTAGATCTAGAATTGTATCTAGATCTACTAGTAGATACTGAAATAGTGAACACTGATCTATCTTGTAAGTTGTAACTTAACTAGTAACTACTATTATGAAGAACTTAGTAAGAAGTAACTAGGACTTTTACTAGGTAGATCAAGGGTCTTTGCTCTTAACTTATATCTATATATATATATAATTCTCTTCTTGGAGACGTTAGTCGTTAGAAAACACCAAGCTGTAAGCCTGCTCCCTACCACCCCCACCTCTACATGGTCTGGTGAGCTGTGGTTCACGCTAACTCCGACTAACTGACTTAGATATTGGTTCGAACAACTTGTCACTGAGCGCAGGGTAAACTCGTACCGCACCGTCGAGTAAAAATGATATTATATAACATCAATAATTAATATTTGTGCAAGGAGCTGGAGAGCTGCATATGGACATGAAAAGAGCAGCATGCGGCTAGCAAGACGCAGGTTGCCGACCCCTGGCTTACGGCTTAACTCACTATATTAATACTAACTGTATAAACAGTTTTGTATTGAGGGAGATTCTAGAAATGTAATGTCAGTTTTTCCAAAAAAGTCTGCAATTTCATTTTCAATAATAATTTAGTATACTAATCCTATATATATTAGGCCTATATATAAAGTTATCACAGCCATATTCATCAGTTACCTCCTTCCTTAGCCATAAATCTTTTGTCAAATTGACATGCCTAAAATTATAGATTACTGATCCTTATCATATTTCTCATCAAGTTTCAAAATTTAGATCTAGATTTCTATTAGTTGTTAGTTGAATTGCTGCTAGTGCTAGCTAGATGGACTAATTCACTAATCTACTAAATTTACAATTAAACTGTAACTGTCTTGAACTTTGGATATCCACCTAGGTCAGTAGAATAACTTATTAGTAGCCCATTTTACTAAATTTTGCATTGATTTATGCATGCACAGTCTAAAGAAAATGATGCCTTCCATAAAGGCAATATTTTCATTCCAAAATGCATATGTTAACAAAAAGGCACTTTCACCTGACCTGTTCTTTCTTGCCATATATTCATAATATTTATTCTTTGTTGATATTATTATAGAAACTGCTGCACTTAGATATAATTAATAATTGTGTTCCATCATTTCAATAGTCTCTGGAAATAAAGCACCTGTTAGTTTACTCAATTCACGCATATGCTAAGCCTTGATGACACATAAAGTCTTGTTAAGTTCTACTAAATAAAATTATTGCTGAAATTTAGTGCGAGACAGTAAAAAAAAATGACATGTGTCTTCAAGCAAGATGTGCCATTTTTACTTTCTCGTATATACGAAGTATAGAGAAATTGTAATTGTGCAAAAAAAAAAAAATCGAGATTTTAACAAATCTCGACGTTTTACACCTCACTGATACGGAAAAACATAATTTTGCAATCTTGTCCGTGTGTCTTTTGTGTGTGTAAACACGATTACTTGAGTACCGTTACAGCTAGGTTGATGAAATTTCATATATAAGTATTTTATCAAAATCGTAGATCCGTATCAACTTTTCAGCGATTTCCGATAACCGATAAGCCTATAGCTTGAGTACTATTTCAGATAGATAAATGAAATTTCACATGTTAGTAAAAGATCTAATTCTCTACCTTCTATCAAATTTTGAGTAATTTCCGTTGACAGGAAGTAGTAATTCACGCTATTTCCAATTTCTCAAAAAACGCATGTAAATTTATAAAGTACTAATAATATTCCGCACTATTATGCACATTTTGTTTAGGCGTTCGCTTGGTGCGCAATTCTTTTTTCTAGGAGATTCTATTCTATTTTTAAAAGCTTAAGTAATTAAAAATCATGTCTATATTCCGAGTTGCCATACCACGTAGTGCTATATAAGAATATTCGAGAAAGTTTAGGGGAGATCACTTCATGTTTATTTTTAATCAAATAAGTTTAATGAGTTAGCCATCATAGCGGGCGTTAAAAAATTAAGATGAAACAATTTCAGAAGTTTAATAGTTTAAGAATCAGGTGGATGTCAAAAATGAAAGACCTCATAAGTGGTTTGCCCACACATTATTTGACCACAGTGAGGGTTTGTCCACTGCTGGGGTTTGATCACAAGTGATTTGACCATAGGTGGTTTGCACACCTAACACCAATCACCATCTACATGACCAACACCTAATTTGTCCACGGTTAGGGTTTAATCACACTGACAATGGTGCTCATTTTAAAGATCACTATACATCAAGAATGGACTACTATAATCCTTGACTAAATTTTATTTATAATCGATCGCACTTTTTAAAACGACTGTATAGAAAAATAATGGAGTTCATAAGTTTCAGTGACTCACCTTGCATTTACTTTCCTCAACTCACAGACATTATGTGGAATTCATTTTGAGATCTGAACCGGAGAATATTCTGTGTTCTACTGCGCGGCAGTGAGATCCCATATTATATAAATTCTCTCCACCAATGTTTAAACTTATTTTATCCCATAAACTATTGTATTAACTTGATAACAAGGGATGCCAAATTGCACTCTACCGGGGAGCTGCACATGCGAAATTGAAATTTTGTTTCCACAGAAACCTCCCCAGGAGTCTTCAACAACTTCCCAAAGTTTCATGGTGATCAGATAAAAGGTGTAGTAATAAGTAAAAGACAAACACACAAACATACACATTGCTTTATATATATATTATATATATATAGATAATAGATCTAATTTGTTTTATTTTCTACATTAGTAATAATGTAAAATAAATATTTCAGTTTCTTTTTCTTTACTGTAATGTAGCAAGTAGCACAATTTTGTTTCCCTTGAGCTTGATATTGTTGGATTTGGATTCGCTTCACTAGTGAAACTTTGTAGTTTTTATTTATACATTGTTTTAATGAGCCTCCTTTAAGTGTACTTTATTATTACAGTGTGTATAATAAATAAATATATGTGTGTATATATATATATATATATATATATATATATATATATATATATATATATATATATATATATATATATATATATATATATGTATAAAAAGATAGAATTTTTTACTACTCTTGGCATATTGTGATGAACTTAGAGTTATTTTAAAATAAGCTTGTGATGAACTTAGAGTTATTTTAAAATAAGCGGTAATCCATTTATGGCGTCCACAAATAAAGCAACTGCAACTGTTTTCTGAGACGGGTGGCATACAGTTACATCTCTTATACATTTATTCATTATTTGAGCTGATGTTTTTCTAACATGAGAAATGCCTGTGTCATTCATATATTTGACCCCACATTCATGCACATTGACCCCCCTGTGCACATGTGTCCATAAAAGTTGATTTTCTGGACCCCTCCCCCTGGTGGACATGTCATAAATGGATGACCCCATCCAAAAGCACAGTTGACCAGTAGTTTTATTTCTTTTTTTTTTTAAATTAAAAAAAGATGTTTGGTTTTAAATAGCTGTTTTGTTGGTGTCGTCTGGATTCCACATGCACCTATCTACTGCATTTTTCTGCTTATGTTCTCTTTAATGTTGTAAACTTTAATTCTCAGTAATCAATTTTTTTTTAAAACCAAAAGTAATATGAGATTTATACATTAATAAAGTTTATATTACAATAAACTTTATACAAGCAAAATTATAGTTTGTCAGGAAAACATTTTATTTTATTGTGTCTTTTATTATGACTAATCAGCTTGTCAAATATTGGAGTATTAAAAAAATGTAATCTAGCTGTTAGGTTGGTAAAAATATATTTGAATTGTAAGATAAAAGAAGATGATTTTTTTTTCTTTTAAATAATTTCAAGTTTAATAGTCATTGCAAATTTACATTGGATTTGTTATTGGTATTGTATGCTAACAACAATTAACAACTTAAAAATTTATCAACAGAATTAAAAAAAAAAACATTTAAAAAAAAGTGATTACACATTTTTAATTTTTACATGCTATAATTACTTGGTTTAATTTGTATTTTTTGTTTTAATAGAAGTGTGACTTTTATGTAGTAGTAATTTAGTCATTATAAAGAACTTGTAATGATGATAGCACCACTTTTCCCTCCTCTCACAGAATAACCATACACCTGAGTGGATGTAAATTAACACATAACAAACTGCACTGTAGTAATAATTGAGCTTTTTTTAAACTTGGATTAGTTGTTTTTTAATTAAATATTCAAAGTATAAAAATTAGACTCCTAATTTAGACAATTTAGATTGCTAGCTTTTTTTCCTATGTAATGTTAAAGCCAGAACCATTAACCCTTTCCTGTCTAGTATTTGACTTAACTTGAGGGGGAGGAGTCAAAGTATGTTTATAGAATTTAGAATGATTATTAGTATGCTTTTCTCTTAACATTACTAGTCTTAACTGTCTAGGATTTAATAATTGAACTTAACAAATGGCTGTCAATTGTGCTAAAATGATTTCACATCTCTGAATACATAGCCAGGCAGTAAACCTAGATTGCTGTTACAAATCTAAATAAAAACCAAACTAACACTACTTGATATTGGAAAGATTAACTGTTACTGCCCTACCCTGTTTTCTAAAAGCAAAGTGTTCATTTCCTTGTATTAAGTGACTAGGTTTCACAGTGTATCCATCATTTAGGATGGTAAGGGATCCTTCTGATAGAGGAAAGATAGTTTCTTTGCTTTTGCACATTTAGAGGTGGAACTTGACTAAACCATGTAACCTAAGAATAAAATAGTTTAACAAATATTATGATACAGCTTAATCTGATACACAATACTATTTTTAAATAAGCTATAAGCTAAGACTTAAATACAATTGATTAAGAGGCATTGAACATAAAATGGGCACATATTTTATATGCAACTACTTTTAATTTAGAAGTACTAATTATTGATTCTATAACTATACCAAATATTGCACCATCTAACTCAAGATTTAACTAATAGCCTTTTATACAAAAAATGCAATAATATTTATATTGTGTAATACCTAAATTGAGTCATGTCAGATGATGCTTTGACTTGAAGTGAAATGTGTTTTATTCTTGTAATGGACATAATATTATGTTAAAATTAATTGTAAACAAAACTAGCAAGCTATTTTACTATTTAGAAATAAGTAAAGATGTTATATTTAACTGTGGTTTAACAGTAGACTGTTTCTAATTATTTATTTGAATATAACATTTTTGGATACTTTAAAAACTCCACAGCAGTTTCTGTTGCTGTTCTACAGAGCCTTTAGCAGAAATGAGAGAAGTGTATCAATGATGTTTTGTTGTTGTGCTAAAGATTCTGACAAATATATTGTTGATGAGGAGAAGCAAAAAAACACATCTCAGACAGCTGCATCAAAGAAAGAAACTCTGCCTTCATCTAGTCAAGGGCATTCAACAGAAAGAGAGATAAAGCCCAGTTCCATTTCTGAGAAGGAAACTGCAATAACATATCAACCCAAATTACAATCTAAGATTGAAACTAAACTCACAGTAAATGATCAAACTAAACTTGAAGAGAGCAAATCAAACACAGTTACTGAACATTCTGGTTTAAATTCTGACAAATCTAAGGTTGAATTAATTATAGCACCCAGCTCAGTGGGAGAAGCTGTATCTCACAGATCTGTTACTAAGTCTGAAGAATCTCCAATGTTCAATGACAATTTTGAATGTATAAATATAGATCTTATAAAATTAGAAAAATTAATTAGTGAAGCCGAATCCAAATCTTACTTGGCTCCCAAAGCTAGACTTCCTGAACTAGGCAATCAACTTAAAGTTTTAACCTCTCAGGTATTAGCATCTTTGACTGACTCTGAAGTTATGGGAGACACCAAAGCACTACAAGATCTTGTCTTACGGCTAGAAGCTGTGACATCTAGACTTGAATCCCTGGAATTAAAATCTGGTGTTGCTGCTCCTGCTGCTGGAGGGGATTTTGGTAAATAGCATTTAGAAACTATTTTTAAAACATTAATTTTTTTATCATAAATTACTTATATTTGATTATATATACATATGTATATGTGTGTATATTAATGTATAAATACTATATATATATATATATATATATATATATATATATATATATAACGTGTGTATATGTATGTATGTATATATATGTATATGTATGTATAAATGTGTGTATATGTGTGTATGTATAAATGTATGTATATGTATGTATAAATGTATGTATATGTGTGTATGTGTGTATGTATAAATGTATGTATAAATGTATGTATATGTGTGTATGCGTATATAAAGTCACCGTCTAAAATCTCTTATTTAAGTTAAAGTGTTGTTTTATCAAAACACTTAATTTTTAGTGAAAAATCTGTTTATTTAAAAAATTTCCAAAAGATACTGTGTCTCCATTTGTTCTTGCCTATGATGACATTTTATCTGGACAATTGGCTAAGTTTTTGTCGGTTTCTCATGAGATTGGAGGAGATGTCGAGACTCAGGTATAACCTTCAATATTTTTCTGTTTCGTTGTTTTTATTCTCTTAGAAACCATTGTTTGTTTTATCACAATAAATTATTGTTAATAGCTGCAGCATTTTCTTCTTGTTGAGTATATATATATATCATTTATGTAAAACTAATTTTCTTATTATTCATACAAAATAGGCTAATCTTGTAAAGGCAGCTTTTGATACTCAAAGGACATTTTTAGTTGTAGTATCTAAGAGCAAACAACCTGATCAGGTATATTTTACTTCATTAATAGTTTAATGAGTCATTTTCTTTTTTTTTTTATATGTTGCCTATAGATATTGAAATAAGAGATTTAATAAATGCTGTATATTAAAAATTTTACCATGGTTTCCTCTGTTAAAACTTAAGAGCTGATTTGTTCTAAAGAATAAAATTTCTTTTTCCTTTATGAAACTACCAAATTGTTCAAAACCCATATTTGCTGTATATTGAAACTTTAATTTTAAGGCTTGTGTACATTTATTTCAATACTTTTAGAATACTTTTATGGAACTCTTAAAATCATCGGCAGATAAATTGCAAGCTGTTCAGGTAAAGTGTTAACTGGCATCACTTAGTTTTTTATTTTAAAGCAGTTATTTATAGTATTATTAATCTGACAATAAAATTGAATATAGTCATAATAAACTCCTGATGGTTCTTCTTCTGATAAATAATTTCAGGATTTTCGTGAAAGTCATCGTAAAAGTGAATACTTTAATCATCTTTCTGCTATAAGTGAATCTATTGCATCTTTAGGATGGGTGACTATTGTAAGTACACTATATCAATATATATATATACGAGCCGACCCGCGGCATATCATACGCCGCTATTTAGTTTTTGTTTTTTCTACTTTTCAGTAATTCATAATTTGTGAATTCGACAGTACCAACACTGCCACTGAAAATATTTCTTTAAAACACTATAATTAGCTCGTTAAGGACGATAACCCCCCCACCTTCCCCCCCTCCGTTAAAGTAAACTCTACTTAGTTACCCCCCCTCCCCCCTGCGTTTAAAATTGTTTCAAACTAAATTATCTGCCCCTAATAGTCGTCACTAAACCCGGCTCTGCTTGTAAACATTTAGCGTGAACCACAGCTCACCAGACCATGTAGGGGTGGGGGTGGTAGGGAGCAAGCTTACAGCTTGTTTTCTAGCGTCTCCCAGAAGAGAATTATATATATATATATATATATATATATGTATATATATATATATATATATATATATATATATATATATACATTTTTGTAAAAAATATTTAAAAAACAGTTGTAGACCAACAGGTTAATAGGGCAGGGTTAAACAGAGTTCACAAGTTTCAGTGACCTTGCATTTACTTTCCTCAACTCACAGACATGATGTGGAATTCATTTTGAGATCTGAACCGGAGAATATTCTGTTTTCTACTGCGCGGCAGTGAGATCCCATATTATATAAATTCTCTACACCAATGTTTAAACTTATTTTATCCCATAAACTATTGTATCAACTTTATTAGTAGCGACTGTGCTAAATGTTTTTTATTTTTATGGATTCAGTTGATTTCTCTATAACTGCAATTTTAGAGCCCTGCTCCTGGTCCATATGTGAAAGAAATGCTAGATGCTGGGACATTCTATACAAATCGTGTACTGAAGGATTTTAAAGAAAAAGACGCTAAGCATGTAGAATGGAGCAAGTCATGGATCAGTACTCTTACAGAGCTTCAGGCATACATTAAGCAGTTCCACACAACAGGCTTGGCATGGAATCCACAGGTCATAACATTTAAAAAAAAAAAATTTTTTGTTTAAAGGCATGAAAAATGCATCCAGTAAAAAGATTCAGATATCACTAATTTAAATATGTCAATTTAATGATGGGTAGATACTTCATTTTAAATTTTCTTCTTCTGATCATAATTAATTTTATTTTCTTATGGTCAAAGCTAACAGAAATTTGATTAGTTGTAAAATGTATTTTTGAAATTAAAATATGTACATTAATTAGGGTAAAGATGCCAAATCTGTCAGCCTCAAAGTTAGCAATGAAGTCACTTCACCTCCAAAAGCAGCAAGTGGTGCACCACCACCACCACCACCACCACCTGGTCCCCCACCTCCACCCGAGATGAGTGCTAGTAACAAAAACGATGAAGAAAGTGCTGCTGCTAAAGCTGCATTGTTTGCAGCTTTAAATAAAGGAGAAGCAGTAACCCAAGGTGAGTTTTATTTGCTTTGGCCATTCCCATTGTCTGCACTTACCAGACCTTATTCCAATTTCTGATCTTTTTAGATGAGAGTAAGTATCTTGTACTCTTAGGGAAGTCAGTTTTCCACTTTTTTATGGAAATTTTATAACATTTTTTGGAGGAAACCTGTACAAATGTGAAGTGAAGGTTGAAAAGAGTGTTTACTCATTGCTTCACCCATGTGAATTCATTAACCCCTTAATGCCTGAATTATGTACCAAGCATGTAAAAAATTATTTGTGCTGATTTTCTCTCATACTGACACTGAATTTGAGGTACATTGTTGTTTTTATATTTGGACTTTTTTATGTTAATTACGGTATGCGAGAATTCGCGATATTAAGTACTAATGGACCAAACAGTGACTTAAAAAATTGTAGGCTGGGTCATTGTACTATTTTTACTGACAGGCATTTCTCTAAATATCCAGGCACAAACAATAGGATATCACCAACTAAACATATGGGTATGCAAGGAGATGTGACTCGTAAAATTCATGAAACCTATAGTTTTAACTGATCAGGCATAGAGTTACATAACTCTGCTACACCTGCTGATCACTGTACTGTATACCTCTTATGAATGGGTATTTTGAAACGTTGTTGTGGTTCTACTACACTACAGTAACACCACATATAAAAAGACTTCCTCAATGTATATAGCCTTCGATGTCCCTGATTACGCCCTTATCATGAACTTCTATTCACGGTCAGCTAATAAAGACGCATATTTCTCATTTGACCCATATTTGCTCTACACAACAAGCAAGTGAACACGTACTGTCCAAAATGACAGCCATTGTATATTTTTCCATGCTCAATTTATTTGCTGTGGGTGCTTAATGTCATTGCTATGGGTAGTCAGTGCCACCGGTGTGGGTACTCACTGCTATTGGCGATAGTACCCAATGTTTCTGCTTTTGGTACTATGTGCTACTGCTGTTGAACTCGAATGATACTGCTATGGATACCCAATGAGTGTGCTGTAGCTACATATTGCCACTGCTATGGGTACTCAGTGCTGAAACAGAGGGTACTGAGTGTTGAAGCCATGTGTACTGAGTGCTGAAGCTTGAGTACTCAGTGTTACTACTGAATCATGTGTTTTGGTACTCAGTGCTGAAGATTTGAGTACTCAATAACTTTGCTGTCAGTACTAAATGCCACTGTTATGGGTACTCAATAGCACTGCAATTGTTACTTTTTTCAGTATTCAACCGTACTATATTTATTACGAGGTTTAGGTCTGTGCTCAGTGTTATTATTCACTGTGAAGACCTATCTTTAGGGTATCAAGGATAGTGGTCTACCAACTCACTTCCTGTTGTCTATTTATTTTTTATGTTCTCCTAATATTTTACAATGCTATTTCAAAGATAAATTTGTCATATTATACTGAGTGCATGATCACATTCCAGCATCGATCTCTCTCCATATGCCAAGGTCAGTGAAACAGGTGAACTCTACTTCACCTGCTGCATGGACCGCAACGTTCAGAAATGCACTTTTATACATAGGGGAAGACTATATTGTAAATCCTTTACTTATTTATAATCATACTTTAAGAAATCACAGCTTGGCAAGGCATCTTATTTTTCTATACCTGTTTGACATCCTAGTACAATTTTATGTTGCCGGATGTGGCAAAAACTTCACAAACAGTAATCAGAAGATAACTTCCTAAATTATTCTCATATGTGATTTATACTGTTTATATACATAAACAGGAGTGCCACTTTTCCAGGATATCCCAGATTTCCCGATTCGAGAATCATATTTTTTTCACTTTCTGGATTAGCAAAAATTTGAGTTTAAAATTTCCGGGTTTGCATTTTAAAAACAAATAAACTTGATAATTGTTTTAATTAGCAAGACACCTGAGCATTTATACACGCTTATGGACCTTAACGCCTTTCGTGCATGCGTAGATGTCCACTGCCGCGAAGGCTAGGCTAGTCATAACCATGGGTGTGATGTCATTTTTACATCGCAACTTTTGTTTTCTTAGCCAATGCTGAAATAACTTAAGTGTGATTGTACATTGGTACCACCTTATATAGTTCAGGCCTGCTAAACACATTTCTAAACAAGATGTTTTGGTTAATGTGCATTGGGGAGTGGGTGGGGCTGTAGAATAGCATATTTGGGGGTAGAGATGGGTCTACAAATATTTTAAACAAATTTTATTATAAACACAATACTTTAAATATTAATTTTTGTTAGAAGATTGTATAAGAGATTACCACTTAAGGACTCTATAGAATATAATAATGTAAACATAATATGAACCATATGTCTAAAAAAGGGTTGGTAAAATTTGGGGAATGATTTTCAGGATTCGATAAAAAAATTAGTGGCACCCCTGCATAAAAGAGTGAATAATAAAGCTATTAGTATTTTTTGTAGTAAAAATAATCAATGTAAGTAGGCTGAATTCAAAAGTAAAAATATTTATGATGCGCATGAGTGTGACGTCATAAATTTTGACTTGACAACGTGACCATTGGTACCGATGCACAACGACCAGCAGCAGTAGTATAAATGTACCTATGCACAAATTCTAAGCGTCAAATCGGTATGTCGCGTTTTAGCGACAGTCTGTGTTAAGGGGTTAAACTATGCCCAAATTGACTAAAAAAACAGACTAAAAAGTTATCAAATTTTACAAAGCAATGTTTTGTAATCATCACATATAAAATAAGCTGGAATTGTTAAGTAACAGATCACACACATACAACTCATTATGGAAGTGTGTGTATTGAGGAGAACCTGCCAGGTTCTCCAATATTAAAGGAGTACACCATCACAAAACATATGACAACATGTGTTTTACAATAATAATTAATGGCAGAATATCAACTTTTCAAATATCATATCCTCTGTTTTTCTCTTTGAATCCTCTGTTTTTCTCTTTGAAGATGTAATGTATTACAGAAATCAGTCCACTAATATTTTTCGATTGACCATATTTTTCCAAAAACAAATGGGAGGCATTAATGACAAAATTAAAAAGGGATTATTAAAAGATTAATGTAGTATAAGATTTTACACTTTTATTTTCTTGCATTAATTATTGTCATTAATAATTGTTATATTTATTTGTTTGATAATGTGAAGGTATTCTTCACTGTTTTTGACAAGAGTAGAGTAGTAGACACAAGTTTTAATCTCTATTTCTTCCAAATAAAATTGTCAATACAACTCGTCTCTTTCTATCACAACCCTTCACTGCCATAAACATCCACCATTACACACCTTCCGTTTACTCCGCTCACAACACACCCTTGTCAAGTGAGTAGTTGCCTTTCTTGTGAACTCTGCACAACAACATACATGTCAACAAATCTGGACTCCATTTGGTCTAACAATACAATAGTATCAGTACTCACACATGGTTTACAGTACTTCGTTCCACATTAATATCTGTCATACATTTTACATCACTGTAAAAATGGATGTGTAAAATGTCAAATGTAAGGCTTTAATCTTTTAACTCTTCATCATTAAAAAATGAAAAATTGCGTTTAGCTTTTTTGCAAATAGATACTTCTCTCTTATCCTAATAAAGGTTAGTTTAACCTACTTATATTAGGGCTCAAAGGTTCTCACTTACAAAATCCTATCACAACCCCTGAGACAGACTCACCAAACCCCTGAGGTTCGATCAAACCTAGGTTAAGAACCACTGATTTAAACTTATGTACAGTAGCAGCTAAATATACTATTGGTTTAGTAAAGTTGCTTTTTAAAGTGTTTTTTTATGTGTTGTAAACTATTGACACATCATTACTGTATGAGCTGCTTAGATACCATATCTGCTTTTGATCTTTTCAGTCAATATGAAGCATTTTAGCGCTGATTTTAATTTTGAAGATAGTTTAGTCCTTGAGTAGTCATAGTTTACCGTTAACTCTAAACTAAAATGGGATTCTGCTTAAACATATCTCAGTTAACAGAGAGCTCAGCTTGTAAAGATAAAAGGATTTTAATAAAGCAGTGTCTAGTAGATCATAGTTCATTTTAGAACAGCAAGGTGGCTCATCTAACACATCACCAATAACACATCACTTATCACTATACAAGTTAAAAGATCATTAAAAACTAATTAGATAAAAAAAAATGTATTTTAACATATTCTTTTTTTTTGTTCTGTAGACAAAATGAAGAAATAAGTTAATGAGCATAAATTTATTTTAATTCAGGTCTGCGCAGGGTGACAGATGATATGAAAACACATAAAAATCCTGCTCTTCGCCAAGGTCCTGCTCCATTTAAGCCAACTCCAGCATCTAAGCCACAGACATCTCCAAAACCAACACCTAAAACCAATGTGCCATTAAGTAAGCCTCCAGTAATTGAATTACAAGACAAAAAATGGGTTATTGTAAGTATAATTATTACTTATTTCAATACATTTTACTTTAATAAGGTACAATGGTACTTCAAGTCACAGAATTAATATGTTCTGTGATATTGCTTGTATGGCAGATTGCTCTTATCTCATAGCAATTCCATCCCCAGAAGTTGATATAATTGCTGTTGATTAGTTCCAACCCCCAAAGTGCTGTCCCATTGGTTATTGTTATGATAACTTTTGTATAAATATACATAATTCTAGAAAATGCAAAGAAATAAACAAGTTTTTTAAAATGTAGTTACCTTGGAAACCAGCCCACTTGTGTGAACAGAAGATTGTGGCAGAGGAACTTAACTTTCTTCACCTATCTATTCTAAAAGTTTTCTGTCACTACTTCTATTCAATGACTTGCTACACTAAAGCAATGTTTTTCTCAAAATTAAAAATAATTCAGACTGTTTATTTTCATGAGAATAACCAGACTTGCCAAATGTTCCACCTATTGCAGAATTGTTAACTAATTTACAAAAAATATTGTCTTGTTCTACTTTAGTTTTTTTTCCCACTAAATAGCAAAAAAAGCAAAACTATGTAATAAAAAAAATTAGTGAATGGAATAAATAAATTAAGATTAGAGGGCTAAAAATCATATCAAAATTTTTTTTTCTTGCACATTGAAGTAGAATCTGAAAGTGTGTTCCTCTTTTTTTATTCAAATTCTTCTTTTTAATTGTGACTATTCCTTCTCTTGCATGACAGTTTTTGCAGAGAGGAGGGGAGAGTAGAAGTTTGTGACATAATATTTAAGTTGAATGTAACTGGTGGTTTTGTGCTTTAGATAAGGCATAAACCAAGGCCCAATATGCTAGAACGAAAATATGCCTAGAGCAGATTTTTAACTTATTGAAAAAAGCTTATAACAACCACAACATTCTATGAAAGCTAATAAACCTTCAAAAGTTACACATAAAAGGTGGGTTTTTTTCAGCTGAGCAGTGTTCAAACATTATTCCATTCCATGTCAATAGAAAAAACAAAAACACATTTTTATGGTTTTCTGTACTTTTTGTTTGTTTTAGCATTAGTCTATTGATGTTTGATGAGGACAAAGTGAGACCAAAAATTGTTTTAAGATTTATCTCTGTTGCTTTTGCCTGTTGTTCTTGCCAAAGGTCTTAGTCAGGCAGTAAATTTATATTTACTTTTGATATCATATTGATATATTTGTTAATGTTTTAAGCATTTAAAAAAATATCTGCAGTATAACTTTTGAATGAATTTCTCACTTTCAGTCGCCTAAATTAGAATTTTAGTTTAATCAGTATGTTACTTAAAATAACTGAAATTTATGATTTTTTTTATATGCTAGAATACCAGAGGTAAAACAACTTCTTTATTTGCATATAAATATGTTTCATCTTCTTTTGCTAGGAGTACCAAAAAGACAACAAGAACATTGTTCTTGACAATACAGAGCTCAAGCAAACTGTTTATGTTTACAAATGTGAAGGCTCTGTTATTCAGGTTAAAGGAAAGGTCAACTCCATCATATTAGGTAAGCATAATTAGAGTAAGCAAGTTTTCTTTTAACTATTTTATATTCTTAAAATGTATGTATTGTTTACACTTATGTCACATACTTGATACTATCCAATTCATGTTATGAATTTAGCAAATTATTCATTGTACTGGGGAAAATAATGATATACTCACAAGCTCCTTCTTTGTCCCCACCTAGTAAGCTTGTAAATCAGTTAATATGATATTTATGAATAGCAGATTAGGAATTCAAAGTACTAAAATGCTTTTTTATACCAGTTCAAAGTTAGAGACCTTAACATAATTGAAAACTAATGGTTATCTTGTTTCCAGATTCTTGTAAGAAAACAGCTGTAGTTTTTGATGATCTTGTCTCCTCAGTTGAGTTTGTTAATTGTCAGAGTATGCAAGCTCAGGTCAGAAATATTATATTTAAAATTTAGAAACATTAATAGAAACAAGTTTAGAGCTCTCTGTATAGTATCTGAATACTTTAAACCAGTTCACCATTTGTGGTGAGATCCATTTTTAATTTAGTAACACAAGATGAACTTGCAATTTTAGCTTTCTTATTCACTTTTAATGTAAACTCACTTTTTAGAAAATAGTATTGATTCATATCTTGAAAACAGTATAATCTGATTCTTAGGTTACTGGAAAGGTACCAACTCTAAGCATTGACAAGACAGATGGGTGCCTTGTTTATCTCAGCCCTGCATCACTTGATGTAGAGATAGTAACTGCCAAGTCATCTGAAATGAATATTTTAGTTCCCCAGGGGGACGGAGACTATGTATGTGCAATATTTTTGTCTAGTGGAGTCTATCTATGTGGGTTTTTTTTTTTGGAAACTTAACCTCTCTCCAGCCATCACATTGTCTTTATTTTACATATAGTATCAGTTGGCTGCTAGCTATATGCCAAGATCAAGAAGCATGAACTCTTCTTCATCTGCCCCATGGATCTTTAGGTCCAAAAAGGGAACATTACTTTTATCTTTTAGACCAGTCCTCCTTCTAATCTCTTTGTTTGAGATTAATATATTGTACCTAACTAGTACCTCAATATATTGGAGGAAGAGGGTATGTTTGAAGGATGTGACTTTTCAAAAGTAATCTAAATTATTCAGTTTTTAAAATGAATTTTACATCTTCCAAGCCTGGTAATCTATCGATATAGCATAATCAAAGGAAGTAGAAGTGAGACTGTTTCAAAACCCATTTGAAGCAGATGTGGCCTATTGCCCAGATGAACTGCAGCTGGAGGTCATTGAGTTTGTTAGCAAATGACCTCCTTAGGGACAAGTTCAATAAAGGACTGGTGGGTTTTTACAAGTTTTTGCTCAAAGAAGACTTTCCTAATTCCAAAACTTATGCATCAAAGTACCTTTCAATTTTTGTAACAACATACCTGTGTGAACAGACATGATCAAGAATGAAATATGTGAAGAACAAGTTGAGAACAAACTTTTCCGATGATAATCTTGGATCACTGTTGATGATAAGGACATAAAATCTAAAGCCAGAAGTTTTTGCTATTCTGGCTTCCAGGAAACCATTTCACAATTCTAATACAATGACTTGCTATCCCGTGTAGTGTAGCAATGTGTTATTAAATAATAACTGAATAATATAATATTATACAAATAATTAAAACCAACATCAATGTTTTGATTCGGACCCCGAACTGGTATTTGATAATTAAAGTGGCCCTCAGGCTGGAAAGTTTGGAGACCCCTACTATAGAATAGGCCAACAGATTAAAAAAAACTGAACTCAATGTGTCTTGACTGTCTTGTTTATAGAAGAAAAATTACTATACCTTTCATTTTCCATCATCTGAACCTAAAACTTTCACATTATAATTAATCTAAATCTACACTCTTGACAGTTGAAGACTTTTTTACCATGCCATTCTTTAAAATAATGTAATGCATAATTTAAAATTGAAAACAAGAATACAACTAGACTTGATTAGTACAGTTTAGCTTTATGTTCAAATAAAATTGCCACTTAAGTAAAAAAAAATTTCTTAAAGTTATTTATCAGGTAAACATTAAATTGCAATTAGACAAGACTTACAATGTTATTTTAGAGTAACATGAACTTCTTTTATTTAAACTATTCTTCATTAAACAATTAATAATTCAGTAACTGTGAGACTGTTTTAACTGTGGTAAAAAAATAGATAAAACATTGAGTTCTTGTGCATATATGATTGCTAACTGCATAAGTCCTTAGTTTGGATACCTAGGCCGATAAGGCACAGAAGCAGGGGACATAACCCATCTAGGAGAGAAAACTCCAAAATGGAACACCTATTGTCTTTAAGATTGTCCAAAACTGGACAAAGGCTATGGAAACAAATCTAGAAAGAAAAGCAGGCTGAACATGTTAACTCAATCCTCAATTGTATCAAAGGAAATCCCTTTCAACTTAGAACAAAGAAGAAGAATGTGCTTAGAAATAAGCAAACTGTACATGGTTACTACTGAATGATGATAATCTGTGTTAGACAATGAAGGTAATTACCGTAGGGGTCATCTGTTGTTCCACAAAAATTTGGAAACATCTTTACTATTAAAATTTGGCAAGTCAGCTTGACATCATACTTTTTACTGTTTTACTAAACATTGTAATTATAGACACTTCTTGACACACGTTTCCATATCACACCTGACCACATGAGCACATTTTATTGCTTGAAAAGCTATATTTATTTATAATATTGATATCATTTGGAATACTATGTCTGCTGATTTTCCTTTAGTCTTAATTTATTTCTTAATTTATTAAATTGTTAGCAATTGTTAAAAACAAACTATTCTCTTGATTCATGTTGATTTAACCCTACATGATTCTGTGAGTATGTCTATTTTCTTTTTGTTTTCTGTCCATAAATTCATAAACACACACACATACATACATATAAATATATATAATATATATATATTATGTATATTATATATATATATATATATATATATATATACATTATGTTTTTTTACTTTCTGTCCACAGAAAGAGTTTGCCCTTCCTGAGCAGTTTAAAACAAAGTACAATGGTCAAACAATGGTAACCATTATTGCAGATAGTATATAATTCAAGCAAAGCGTTTGTAGTAATTAAGATTACCCTATAATAAATTGATTTTAAATATCATTAAGTAATGTATTTCAAATAAAACATTAACCTTGGAAAGTTTGAGATAGGGTTAAATCTTAATTATTTCTGTTTAAAAAACATTTTTATTGAACAAAACATTTTACCCAGTTCATAAATAATGATGCATTTTTCTTCTAATTATATCAGCTAATGGTCACAGCAACTTTTTGTTTTTGTAGATTAATGCTTATTGTGTAACATTTAGATTCTAGTAGAATTATTCTTCAATACTATGTTAACATTTATTGTTTAAAATTTTGTGCTAAAATATTCACTTAATAATTTAGGACTGATTTAATTAGGTGTGGTTTTTTTTTTTTTTTTAAATGTAGACAAAAACGTTTTGTATCAACTGTCACCTTGTCATTTTTAAAAATGCTGCTAGTGCTTGGGATTCACAAGCTTGTTGTAACGATTCATATCTATGCAATTTAAAGAAATCTGTTCAACTGATTTTATTTATATTTTAATATCTTGTTTTTTTCTTCTATTTCCGTGTAACTAACTGGTCATTAATCAATAAATCAGTGAGTTGTTGATTAAAATAGTGCATGATTCATTTATAAAATTATTGGTTCTACCAAGCCCACTTCTTTGTGATTTAACTGTACTTTTCCTAAATTGGAAAAAGCATATTTTTAATGTTTTTTTTTGTTATACTTATTGTTATGGTTCTGACTAGCTCTGTATGTATACTGACTTTGGTAAAGTAAGGACAATTTTTTCTTTTAAACAACCAATTTAATTTAAAACCAGTTAAGTTAGCATTTCCATTTCTAAATTTTGTGTAAAAGTAAAATGTTATAATTGCCAATAAAAATTAATATAAAAGAAGGTAGAACCTGTAAAATAAGCATACCTAAACATTAATATTTTTATTGAACAGAGATAATTGTCAAGTGTAATTTAGTTATTTTAAGTTGCATTGTTCTATTACCATTAGCTGCTTTTAACAAATGTATTTCTTACTCAAATATTATAGTGGTTGAAGTTGATAACAATATCAATAATAAAATCCTGCATTTTTTACTGTCAAAATTTTAGCCTTATTTTCTGTTTTGAATTTTCCAGTAATGATACTTTGCAAGATAATACTACTTAATTTTCTTTTTAAGGACATCTTAACCGTTTTACACTTTGTTATTTAAAAATTACTGTTAATAAATTGAGTACAGCTATTTTTTGTTTATGGTACACATTAATTGGTCTTTTTAAAATAATTTACCAAAATGTACATATGTACTCCTCAGCCATACAAGTTCAGCACTTTCAGTTGAACCTATAATACAGATATTTATAGTAGTGGTACCTTAACAGTACATTTTTAAAAATGTATTAATTTATATAAAACTAGTAATTTTTTAAAGCCTAAATTTGTGTACTGTGTATGTCATTATTTCTTAGTTGCTGGTATTTAATGCTTGGTTTAAACTTGATTATTAAAAGCCTAACAAATGAACTTACCTGTTTTCTTTCTTTTTTACTTTCTCATATATACGAAGTATAGAGAAATATTGTAATCCTGCAAAAAAAAATTGAGATTTTTTGTTTTGTTTTAGAAATTGTGGTTAAAATTTACAATAGTTATTTAAGTTGAGCATCAGTGATGCAGCAAATATTTGTTCTAGATCTGTATGCTGAGGTCAACTCTACTTCACCTGCCCAGTGTCCTCCCAACTCAGACATGTTTTTGTCTGTGAAAACACACATTTTGGCTGAGTGTGGGTCTGACCACATATCTCTTCATATGCTGTCGTCACATGTGAACTTTTCACCTACCCAACACTACTTCACCTGCCCAGTGTTCCGCAAAGTCTCAGACATGTTTTATCTTTAAAAAAAAAAGATTCCGGCCGAGCACGGCTCTGACGACACTATCCACGATATATACTGAGGACAAATAAACAGGTGAACTCTACTTCACCTGCCCTGTATCCTGCTAAGTTCCAATAGGCAAAGGCAACATCATTCACAACTAAAAACAAAAAAAAATATTAAAAATAAAAAACACTAGCATGTCTAGAACCCATGCCCAGGGGGTCAAAACTGACCTCGACTTACCGGCGCCTTATATGGGCTATATTACGAAAAAAAATTTCCGACGACGACCCCCCTTGAAATTTTGTGAGGTGGTAGGAGAATGCCTTGCGGTGTCACAAAAAACTCGGCATATCTGGGAAAACTTCGTAAAGGGGTCAAAACTAACCAGTTGTATTTTTCTATATAATATTTGTATTTTATGGGAAAAACAGAGGGTCATTTGAAAACGGATTTTAGGGCACTAACCCTCTTTACATCTGGCTAATTTTTGGCATGCTTATAGGTAAATGGCTTGGCCGTAGGGCAGACCTGACGGTTTTACTCAAAGCCATCGACGAGGGCTAAAAAGTGACCGCGAGTGAAATTCTCTTTATATGAGCTCTATTACGAAAAAAATTTCCTCCGACGACCCCCCTTGATATTTTGTGAGGTGGTAGGAGAACGCCTTGGGGTGTCACAAAAAACTCGGCATATCTGGGAAAACTTCGTAAAGGGGTCAAAACTGACCAGTTGTATTTCCCTATATAATCTTTGTATTTTATGGGAAAAACAGAGGGTCATTTCAACGCAGACTTTAGGATACTTAAACTCAGTATATCTGGCTAATTTTTTGCATACTCTTAGGTCAATGGCTTGACCTTTAGGGAAAACTGTCGGTTTCACTCAAAGCCCTCGACGAGGGCTAAAAAGTGACCGCGAGAGAAATTCTCTTTATATGGGCTCTATTACGAAAAAAAAATTTCCTCTGACGACCCCCCTTGAAATTTTGTGAGGTGGTAGAAGAAGGCCTTGGGGTGTCACAAAAAACTCGCCATGTCCTGGAAAAAATCGGGAAATGGGTCAAAACTGACCAGTCGTATTTCCCTATATAATCTTTGTAAAAACAGGGAAATTTTAACACAATTTTTAGGTTACTTAACGTCTTACATCATGCTAAGTTTTTGCATACACTACTATAGATGACTATGCCGTATGGAAAAACTGTTGGTCAGACTCAAAGCCCTCGACGAGGGCTAAAAGATGATCGTGAGTGAAATTCTCCTTATATGATATATATATATATATATATATATATATATATATATATATATATATATATATATATATATATATATATATATATATATAGACGAACGATCCCCTTAATATTATATGACGTCGTAGACCAACCCTGGAAGGTAACAAAAAAAAATTATTCCCGTCGGAAACAGCCCTTATAGTCGTTAAATATGTTCATATACCGTAATTTCTTATATAAGCATAGCAACTGTTTGTAAAAAAAAATAAACAAAGACTTACGTCATACGGTCAGTTTTCAAGGGAGGTAACGTTTGTAAAATTATTATTTTTCAAATAATTGTATACTATTTTAAACAGAAACAGAAAATAACGAAGTATAGCATTTGTTTTAGTACAAAATTAAGTTGTTAATTCAGTTACGTATCCTAATTAAATAAATAAATAAATACATTTCAAAAGGCAATGTAATATAAACTATGAGATATACTGTTCATGGAACCTGTGTAATTCTAATTCCATTTTAGTTATACACTAGGCATGCTGCCCAGCCTCGCTTAGGCTTACGAAAACATTGAGAATTTGAATGCTTAATTAATTCGCCCGAAGGTCGGTCTACGACCTCAAGAGTTATGAAGAGGTTCCTCCGTGGACATTTTTTTTCGATTTATAGCTCATATAAGGTACCGGTCAGTCGAGGTCAGTTTTGACCCCCACATCGTAGACTTTTCGGCCAACCGGCCCCCGTGTTCTGTCGCACCAAGGCAAGATCATGCCAAATTTGAAGCGCCTGCGGCGCCGGGAAGTGCCCTATCGGACACCCGACAATCTAGATCTAGATCTAGATTCCTAAAAGAACTTTTTTTTTAAGTTTAGCCCGAGCATAATAAAAAAGAATACATTAACCAAGTTGACTTGCTGTGTCTCGAACCCGCACCACCTGCGTGGTTTAATGTACACTAACATCTCCGATATTTAGGCACCTTATAAAATACGGAGAATGAAACACGTATTTTAAAATCTTAACTAACGCGAATATGCCTATTCTTTTAAATTAATTTTTTATCCCAAATTAGCCAGTTCCAAACAAAGATTTTGTATAAAATAAATAAGTCTTGAAATAGTTTAGTCCTAATATAGAAATTTATTTTTGGAATTGATTTTAGAGAAGTTAGAGTCTAAATCTAGATCTTAGCGTCTACGTCTAGATCTAGTTATTGCGTAGATTTAGATTTAGTCTAGATCTAGAATCTCTAGATCTAGAATCCAAATACATAAAATACATTTTATGAGTTTAGTCCGGAAAAATTGTATTGTATACATTTCATAGTGTACGTAGATCTAAATCAAATTTGAATGAAATAGTTCATTTCTTTTCATTCTAAACACGGCAGATGACGTCATTAGTTAATGTATAAGCAATAGTGACGTCACAGTTTTATGCGTTCTTTTTCACACATATTAATGCTTTTCCGGTTGCATAAATAATACTGTTTATCTACATTCGAATACGCCTTTAATTTTTATTTTTCTTCATTAACTGAAATTATGGTTATACATTTAAAACATCTAACATATTATTTTCAACAAAAGTCCGTAAAAAGTTCTTCATATATCGCTGCCGATTGTGACGTGATGTCCGGCGAAAATATTTTGCGGACAGACAGAGAGAGAGAGAGAGAGAGAGAGAGAGATGTGCGAACGTGGGGATTTATATATTAGGATTGCGTACTTTCCAATATCTCTCTCAGAGCGGTATTTAAATGACAAACAAAAACATTTTTTCTCTAAAGTTAGCATTACTGTTTAAATTAAAGCTCTCCACACCCAATCCATCGCTAAATAATTAAGTATTCAAATTCTCAAATGTTATTTAAAAACCTAAGCGAAGCTAGGCAGTATGCCTAGTTAGTACATAAAAGCTTGTTATTAAAACGTTTTTTTAATGACTTTTTTAGTACTTTATATGTTTTTATTTACAACTAGACTTACCCGTCATCCCTTGGATGACTGTGGGTTTCGGGGGTCATCCATAAAAAAACATCGCGTCTGTCACTTATCGTCACAAAAAACCAGACCCCACATTCAAAAAGACGTTTTTCATCTTTTAAAAACACCGATTTCGGCTGAGCATGGGTCTGACCACACTATCCCTTCATATACTGACGTCACAGGTGACCTACTTAACTCTACTTCACCTGCCCAGTGTCCCGCCAAGTTTCAGACAACATGTTTTTATCGTTTAAAAAAAAAACGATTCCACCCGAGCATGACTCTGACCACACTATCCCTTCATATGCTGAGGACAAAGAAATAGGTGAACTCTACTTGTCCTGTCCTGTGTCCCGCGAGGTACCGATAGTCAACTTGATCATTCACGTTTAAAAAAACAAAAATTAAAAAAATAAATTTACTTTGTCGTGATGTGTCTCGAACCCGTACCACCCACACAATAATAATAGTCATTCCACTGTCATCTTAGCTATAGCCGCTATAGCGGTACTGACAAACCGATGTGAAATTAGTCCTATGATGTACTGCAAAGTAGAAACCAGTTACGCGAATAGGTCCTAATATTTAAATTTAATTAGGGACCTAGATCTAGATCTATATCCCAAATTAGCCAATTCCATAGCTTAACAAACAAAGATTTATATAAAATAACTAGCTGCATCCCGTGCTCCGCCACGGTAAATCTTTTTTAAATGTACCAAGTTGGGAACAGAACAAAACTAAACACAACGCAAACGAACGCAAAAAAAAAACACAAACGAAAAAACAAACACAACACTCATAACATAAACTCAATTTAAATGTAATCATAAAGGCATATTGCTCACAGTCTATCCCGTAGCGCCACATCGCGCCCTTTCCGAGCGCCGGCGGACGCGTCTGACACAGAGAATGACTATAAAACAGAGGCGTAGCTACCCTTTCCGGCGCCCGGGGACAAACTTTTGATTTGACCCCCCCCCCCCTTAAACTTACGATTTGCACCCCCTCCCCTCAAAATTTCAATTTCCACCCTACCCCCCTCAAACTTTCGATTTGTACCTCCCCTTAGACTTTCGATTTGCACCCTCCAACTTTCGATTTCCACCCTTCCCCCATCACCCCCCCCGCAAATTTTTTCCAACCCACATTGGCGCCCATTTAGGTCGGCGCCCGGGGACATATGCCCCCCCCCCCCTTGCTACGCCTCTGCTATAAAACCTCTAGCTTGTCCGCAAACCAAAAGATAGAATAATAATTAGTAAACAATACGTTCAGTGTATAAAGTAAATTAAAGGCAGTATTTAGAATATCCGTGTTTTACCGACCTTATTGCACTTTATAAATTCATGCATTTTTTTCAGTACTTTTTAAAATTTACAATAAAGTTTCACGACTAAAACCATTGCG